GGGTAGACCGACTATAAAGTCCAGAGAAACACTTTCCCATAGTCGCTCTGGCACTGGCAATGGCTCCAAGAGACCACCTGGTTTCTTGAGCTCCACCTTGTCCTGTTGGCACACAAGATAAGTCTTCACATAGGCCTCCACATCATCCCTCATGTGCGGCTAGTAGTATCGGTCCTCGATCAGTGCTAAGGTACGACTCACTCCGAGATGTCCAGCCTACCTTGAATCATGACATTCTTGTAAAACATTCTTGTAAAACTTCCTTGCGGAGCTTCCCGTGCTGCAGCACAAACAGTCTACTGCCCCTGGTGTATAGCAAGCCATCCTGCAACCAAAATCGCCTAGTTTTACCTTGCTGGGCGTACTCCATCAGAGCTTTGGCTATAGGATCATGCGTAAGTCCCTCATTGATGCGTGGCACCAGTGACCCCTCTGGTTGGCTAATAGCAGCAAGGTTAGCCTTCCTGCTCAGGGCGTCTGCCACTAGGTTTTCCCATCCTGGCTTGTACTCCATCTGGAAATCAAATTCCATAAGATGTTTGTGCTGGAATAGAACCGATGCACCATAGGGTGCCTTCGATGGCCTGATGAAACCAGCATCAACTAACTCTTTGAGCTGTTTCTTTAACTTCTCCAACTCTGGTAGAGACATTCGGTAAGGGGCTCTAGCTAATGGCTTGGCTTCGGACACTAGCTCGATCTTGTGGTCCACCTCTCTCTTAGGTGGTAGCTTGCTAGGCAGCTTTACGGGCATCACATACTAAAGGTCTTCAGCACCTTTAGCACCTCCAAGGGTGACTCGGTCTCTTTCTCCCTTGGCTCATCATATTTCAGGGCTACCAAGAAGGTGTCTTCTTGTCTGTTTACCGTCTTGGCAAATTAGATGGCTGACACCACCCGCGACCCAACTCCAGACCTTCTCCTCAATGGTACTAGGCATTGGCACCGTGCATCCAGGATGCAAACACAATCGGCAAAAGGCACAAGGAGGGCGTTAATCCGAACAAGGAAATCTAACCCAATCACAAACTCATAGTCGTCAAGGGGTATTACCTCAATGGTCTCCTTGCCTTTCTAGTCTCCAAGCTGTAACTCCACTCCTCGCGCTACTCCAATGGCTAGAACTTTCTTGAAGTTCATCGTTTTAATGGTACCAGTCCCTTTTTGCACCTTCAGTCTGAGCTTTTGGGCTCCATCACCTGAAATAAAAAGATGTGAGGCACCTGTGTCCACTAGTGCGTTCACCTTCTGACCCGTAACCATCAGATCCGCAAACATCAAGCCCTTTGGCTTGCGGCTCCCCTTACTCTGGATAGCATTGAGCACCAACGACCCAAGCTTTGTTACCCCCAACTCTAGCTCCTCGTCAGACTCCTTGTCTACAGCAGCCAGCTTGCCCTTCTGCGGGTAATTACGCGCTATGTGGCTCCCTCCACATAGGTAGCATACTAATGGCTCTCGGTCCCCTTTTGCTTTCCACTTGTCTGCTGGTGGCTTCCTCTCGCCATCCTTGGTTGAACGATCTCGATCTCCATCCTTGGACTTCCGGTCATGGTCCTTCCCTTTGGACTGCTTCTTCCGGTCCCTATCGTCTTTGCCCTTTCTCTTGGGCTTGGAAGACTCGAACTTGTTCAGAGGCTTGAACTCTATCAAAGCCTCTGTAGTATTCATGGCTTTAGCCAAGTCATGAACTCCTCTTCTTTGTAGCTCATGCTTCACCCACGGCTTCGGCCCATCCATGAAAGTAAATAAGACGTACTTCTTACCTAGATCCAAGATCTGTAGCATCAGTTCAAAAAATTTTTAGACATACTCCCTTATGTTCCCTTGCTGGCTCAGCCTGCGCAACTTTGCCCATGCCTCATCATCGACATACTCTGGGTAAAATTGTTCTCTGAACTCCTTTTAGAACTCTGCCCAAGTTCCAATCTTGGCGCTCCCACGCCTGACATCATCACACCTATGCCTCCACCACAATAAGGCTACATCAGTGAGATACATAGCAGCGGTGCTTACCTTTATCGCCTCGTCTTGCATGCCCATGGCTTGGAAGTACTGCTCCATACCTCAAAGGTAGTTGTCTACTTCCTTGGCCGCCCTAGTCCCCTTGAACTCCTTAGGCTTGGAGACATCCAATCTGGATTTAGACACTCCAGCAAACATGCCATTCCCAATGGCAGTCTTGCAAGTAACGAGCTCACTGGTAAGCTCTTCCATCCGCTGGCGCATGGCCTCCATGCCATCGCGCAAGGTCCGCACTTCAACCTCCAAGGTCTGATTCTTTTGGGTGAACACGTCCAAGCCTTTGTTGAGAGCAGCTTCCAGCTCACATTTTGGATCTCCTCCCCAACGGAGTCTAGCGATTGCAACTGAGAGTCCCTCTACTTCCTCAAGCTTCTCTCCCATGTTCCGCCCACGATCACCCCACCTTGGCCAGCCTACCCGTTCATAGTAACCAGATATCTCTAAAACTAGCTTTCTTGGCCTCTTCCCCGGCCCATGCTCCTAGGGCCTCTGGTTGTTGGCTAGCAACGTCGCTTTGGGATGCCATCTCCTCAATCATGATCTAACCTGCACAACACAAACACGTAGAATCGAACTTGCTTTGATACCAACTGTCACGGGCTACGACCTTAGACTCAGAATCCGTGCAACCTTAGGCTTGAAATCTCCTCTTTTATGCCTAAGTCAGCCTAAAACACAAGCGTACGAGCACTAGAACAATGGGAAAGGCTGATTACGCAAGTTAAAGAGAAACAGGATAAGAAGACAGAATTTTGGAAATGCTTGTATTCACTGAAACAGAAGTGTTTGATGGTGTACAAATGAGGGTGGAGCAGCCCTCTATTTATAGTTGAGGCTCCAGCTACAACTTAATGGCATATTCCTAGAATAAAGGCTAAAATCATGAGATTACAATCAATCAGGATGTTATCTCCTGATTTTTAGGGTCAACTAAATCTATCAGGATGCTCCAACTGATCCTGCCTGCTTCCAGAAGCTTCCCTTGCGTGTCCAGCACCTTGGGCCTTTCTGGATGTGGTGCGGGCAGGTTGTATGCCAGGCCTTGGTCTTACGGGCTGACCTGCAAGTTGAGCGGGCGTTTTGAGCTCGTTTGCTAAGCTTTGCGCACAGATACCCGCCAGCACGCCTGATCTGCGAGCCTCAACCTCTAGCTCGCCTGTTGGTCTGCCTGATGCGCCTAGTGCGCTGCCCAAGGCGTGACACATGCACTATATTATATATAATTTTAGCTGGATAAACGCCTACAGATTCTCGAAACACCATCAACAAGTAGTATATTCTCTCATCAATAATCAATATACTTTTTTCCTTTCGTTTTTTTCAACCTTTTACAAGAAACAACTTGCTGCTAGCTGCAGTACTGTTACAAAAATGATTGCTGCCAAGAAAAGTAGAGGAACAAACCAGGCTTGTTCTCCACTAGGCATGGGGAATAAAGTTATAGAAGCCTAAACCAAAAAGGCTTGGAATTCTCCACTTATTTTCAGGTTGTGGTTTAGTAATATGATGCATGTCAAGGAATATATATTAGCAATATATCAGCAAAGGAAAGGAAAAGTAACAAAGACTCTTAAAAGAGTGGTCTGACTTCTGAATATATATATATTCACTAGCAGTTGAGGAATTACTTGAACTCATATCATATCAATCGGCTGGCCATGATAATGTTTTATCTAGAAGAATTCGTTGGACGGTCCAACGTTCCGACCTGGATCCGAACTAGTAATTAAGGAGGTTCATATTCATATATATGATCATAAAAGAAATGTCGTAATTTTGGAGAGAACCTTCTTACCTTCCTTCCCACTTCATTAAAGTTAAGTAGCAGAAGAAGATTCCCAGTTCTTAGGCTCCTTTATCATTCTTTTTGGGATGGGATTTTCTTCTTTAAGCCTTTGTACATGGGTTGTGTTCCTTGATTTAGAGTCGTAGAATTGGAACTAAGATATTCTTTCCTTAGAGGCAAATGTTATATTCTTTTGAATTATGCAACTTTTGAAACCATAAAGAAAGTTGCATTGGTGGATTGATACTAAAAACCTTCTGAATAAATCTCATTTCTCTCTCTCTCCAATATGGTGGGTAAAAATTACTAAAATGTTGATGGTATCAAATTCAATTAATTTAATAATCGTAGAATCATTGCCGCACATGTGTCTTGTTTGGTCATTGGAGGATTTTTCTTGCTTAAAGCTAAATAGATGTATGGATCTTAATTAACATGAAACATTACCATATTATTATGCACCGAAAATTGATTATTACTGATAAAAATTTCGTCGGTAAAAAGCATTTTTCTGGTAGTGTGTTGCCATCGTTTTTTACTTCATTTTGGATCCAATTGGACATGGGTCGTGGCCCCTTTGATGCCCTCCCTTTGGACTCTAATCCATGCTATGATTCGTTAATAGTAGTGTCAAATTAAAGAAAGATTTAGGCATATCATTTAGCCGAATAGAAATGGCTGAAATTGAATTTTAAGCCAAATTGATGCTTTAGAGTTAATAGCTTCATTACAATCAAAAAGAAGAAAAAAAAAGTGCAATAGTAATAAGAAGAATCATCTTTTGTAATGGTGATTTTGAATTTCGTACACAGACTAAACACATGACCCTCTGCTGTCAGACCTTGATTCCATCTCACTCTGATTTTTTTTTTAGCTTTTTCTGTCTTTGTTCTTTGCAAGAATTCCATCCCTCTGCTTTATCCCTCTTCCTCTCATAAGCTTTTTCTTTTCCTCTTCCTCTCTAAAACCCCTACTTTATTCCCCTTGAACTCACCCCTAAAAGACGATCCTCCCTCGATTCCTCCTTGCGTTCACAAACAACGTACCTTCCCTTTCTTTCTTTCTCTCCATTATCACTTTGAACTCAAAACCTAGAAAGCAAAGCCGACCACACACTCTCTCTCTTTTGCTCTCGTTTGTTTTTGTTTTTTTGCATACAAAAACCTTATTATTATTGCTCCAAACAACAACTTTTGCTGGGAAACAGATAAGTTTCTTGCTGTTATATTCACCAAAAAGAAAAGAAGAAAAAAAAGAACATATGGCATCACCTTCTGAACTAACCCTTGACTGCAAACCACACAGTTATTCCATGCTATTGAAATCCTATGGAGATCATCAGATTGATCAAACCCAGAAGCTTGAACAAGTCCTTTCTCGTCTCGAGGAAGAGCGCCTTAAGATCGAGGCATTCAAGCGCGAGCTTCCCCTTTGCATGCAACTTCTCACCAATGGTACGTCTTTCTTTTTTGGGGTTCATGATTTTGATAAACAGAAAAGGTTCAGTATATATTTTGGATCTACTACATATATAAAGAAATTATTTTCCTAGCTACTGCTGGATATTCATGTTGTTTGGGCATCTGTGTTGGCTTCCAACCTTTTTCTTTTACGACTATCTTTTTGATTTATAGAAGTTAGAGTTAGCTTTCTATTTGTATGTGATATGGATCTTCATTTTCTAGTCAAATCTTTCTTTGAATTCAAAAGGGTCCGATTTATGCATACATTTTCTAAAGAACTAAAGCATTTATTAATGATTGTTTTGCTTCTTCTTTTTTTTTCAGCTGTGGAGGCTTCAAGAGAGCAACTACAGGCGTATCAAGCGAAGAATCAAGGATCAAGACTAGTGCTTGAAGAATTCATACCCCTCAAGAACTCAAGTTCGGAGAACTCAGAGAAATCAAATACCATTTCTGATAAAGCAAATTGGATGACAACTGCACAACTATGGAGCCAAGGAGCAAATGAAACCAAACCACAATCCTTACTTACAATATCCTCTAAAGAAACTGATATCAGTTTCAATGTTAGTCCCAAGTTGGCCTTAGATACCAAGAAGAGAAATGGAGGAGCTTTCCTTCCATTCTCCAAAGACAGAAACTCATGCCCTGGTTCGGCTTTACAGGCTTTCTCTGATCTAGCTCTTGCTTCTGTCAGTATAGATATGGAAGATAAGAAATGCTCAGAGATGACTGAAAATGTTATATCTTGTCAACGGAGAGAAAACTCTGGTAAAGTTGGCAAAGGTGGAGCTGGGATTGAGCAAGGCAAAGGAACCGGTAACACAGCTGATGGGCAAATAACATATACTAACACTGATACAAACGGTAATCAACCTCATCGAAAGGCTAGGCGCTGCTGGTCACCTGATTTGCATAGGAGATTTGTCAATGCTCTCCAGATGCTTGGTGGTTCTCAAGGTATTAATCAACAATTGATTTGATTTGATCATTGTTAAAATTATGTAACTGAATTTAGTACTAAGGTGAAGCTATCATTATGAAAATCATTGATTTTGTTCTGATAATATTTTGATGATGGTTATAGTTGCCACACCAAAACAGATCAGGGAGCTGATGAAGGTTGAAAGTTTGACTAATGATGAAGTGAAAAGCCATTTGCAGGTAACTCTCTCTCTCTCTCCATTGGGGCTTGCAAGAAAGAGCTTTTGCACTAAACCTGACACAGTACCAACTGCAAACAATGCCTGATAAGTTAAAAAGCGTCGATGTAAATCTTTTGATCTTATAATTGATTCTTTTTTTGTTACAGTCCTATAATTTGATTTTTTGTTTTACCCATTTTTGACAGAAATATAGGCTCCATACAAGGAGACCGAGCCCAAGTACACAAGCAGCAGGAGCCCCAACACCCCAGCTTCTAGTCCTAGGTAGCATTTGGGTCCCACAAGAGTACGCCACTGCCGCAGCTTCCGCTCACAGTGTCGCGCCCACTCTATATGGCGCTCACCACCCGGCAGCTCCCCATGGACCACCTCACTTCTGTGCATCACCTGTGCACCAAGAATTCTATACTGCGGCTGCAGCTGCAATCCCGGCACCACTTCCACCCCAGCTGCACCACCACCAACTCCACGTGTACAAGGCCACCTCACAGCCCCATAGCTCACCAGAATCTGACGTTCCGGGAGTAGGAGACCACTCTGAGAGCATTGAACGTGGCAAGTCCGAGAGCAGCTGCTGGAAAGCTGAAAGCGGCGACAACGGTGTCGATGGAGAGAGAAAAGGGTTAGCTGCATTGAGAGAAGAAGGTGAAGTAGGCAACGATAGTGACACCAATCTCAAATTCTAAGAGAGTTAACAAGAGAGTTTTAGGGGTAGGGTTTAGGTATTTCAAGTAATTGTCTACATAATCATATACCATTATTATCAATTATGTTCAAAATTCCAAAAATTTTTATGTTCAATATGAAAAGAGGATAAACAATGGCATATCGGAAAAGTGAGTCCTTGTTTTGTTCTTAATTATTTTCCCTCGCTTATTACGTGAGAAAAGAATGAACAAAAGGATGATTTGTTTTTGGCGTTTTCTGTAGTTTATTGTTTTTTGCATTTATGGACAGATTTGCCCCCATCTTTTCTAATCTCCGCCTCCAAAGATGGATGAGGAGGCAAGTTCTCGGTACTTTTCCACGCTTCTTTAGAAAAGCTATTATTTGGCAAAGCTACCCATTGCCGACGTTAAAATTGAGAAAAAAAGTAAATCTCATAATAATTAAAAAGCGGGTAATCTAAGCATATAATTTAGTTTGTTGATTTTAAAATTAATTAACAAGGATCAATGGATAATTTTACAAATAATAAATTAATTATGTGATAAAATAAGATTTTATGGATAAATGCAAAAATATTGATGATAATCCATTATTGAATAATTTCAAACGAGTGAATGATGATATTAAAAGATAAATTTTTATTTATATTTGGAATTTAAATTTTAATATTTGATTTTTTTTAATTTTTAAACTATAATTTTTTTACACAAAAATTTAAGTGAAAAAATCTACACATTCTAGTGCCAAGACATATAACTAGATATCAACTTTCACGAATGCACGTACATAAGCAACTCTTTTTGATCATTGCCTTGTTCTTTTCTAATATGAACAGTGCCTTTAATCTTTGATCAATTTTAACTTAAAAAAAAAAAAATCTTGTATATGAATTTTGATCATGTACGAATGAAGAGTATATAATTAAAGGGGGTGTCACGTGACAATTATTTATTTTCTTTATTTTTTTTTATTATTTTACTTTTTGTATTTTTTGTCAAAATTTTTAATATTTAATAAATATTTTTAAAAAATTTTATTTATTAAAAGTGAGATCCATTTTATACGAAGTTTTCTTTTTTGCTTTTTTTTCTTTCTTTTAACTTTTTTTAAGATTTTAAATTTATATTTTATGGGACCGTTTGATACTAATAGTATACTTTTTCTGTTATTTCCCATTTTATATATTTAATAAATAATTTTTTTAAAATTTTAAATTCTTTTTTATCTTGCCAACATACCAAAAGTAAGTCATGTATCAAGTTATTTTATTTTTTAATCTCTTTTTTTTTTTAAACATTTTTGCTATTTACTTTTTTTCTTTTTTTAATATTTATTTTTTATATATTATTTTACCTCGAGATGGATTGAATGGGTATTGGTTCATTTTGTATTAAAACAGAGGGTAGAAGCATTAATCTTACGCAAGTCCACGATAGAAGGCATGTATGCAGCAAAAATTGACCAGCCAAAAAATTCATACATATGTCAAACAATATGTGCTTAACAATGCTGCCCCGATTATTCAAATACACATATGTTTGGCTCCAGAGCATGTTTTAAACGAGAAAACAGAACATATTAGACTTAACAATTGCATGTAAATCATGACCAAAAGAGTGAAGAGGCTAACCTGATGTTCTTGTTCGCAGCTTTTAAGTTTTTCCCTGTACTTCTTTACTTGCAGGAAACATTTATGCAGCTGCAGGTCATTCATTTAAAGTAAAAATTTTTGAACCAAACAGAAAAGGTTAAAACTTACTTCAACCATATTGCAGCAAAGTATACAAGAGTATGGATTACCTCGGTTAACTGCATTTTGCGTTGCGAAGAGAGCTTCCTTGCAGCAACCACTGCATCCTCCAGTCTGTATGTATTTATCAAATTCTTAGTGACAATATGAACCAGACCAATAAACTGAAACCATGGGTAATATCATTAAGATACCGTAGATTTTTTCTGTTCTAACATTCGGCCTTCCTTCCATTAGTGAGACCTGACAAGGCAGAAAACGTTACTTGGTTTTTTCCTACCACTACACAGGTGTGAAAAAGAAATGTCTGTGTGTGTGTGTTGGGGAGAGGGGGGAAGAGGTTAAAAAAGACCCTAACAAAAGGAGGCTGGTGGGACTGTGTAAAATCAACTTGGAAAGTGATATCCTCACACCAGTGATTGCCATGGCAGTGCAAATACAAGAGTGTGTATGCACATATAACATAAGAATTAGACTGCGCCTAAATACTATAATCCATCTACCTACACCTGGTGTCTTAAAAAATTGATACAAAATTCTAAAGATGTAGCAAACCTCTGTTTTAAGCTCTTCTCAGCTTTGAATTGATCTTTCCAGTTCTTTTTTATCAGGAAACAAAACATAATTAACAACAAAAAAAAATCAAGATTACACAAGCATGCATCAAAATGAAGTTCAGGTTACGTGATTGTAACCATCACTTGAATCTGATGAAAGCCTTCTGCCATGTTGATCATTGCTTATAGAGCTGAAAAATTGAAAATTAATTTTAAGGACTTTTTTTAAACTATATATATATATATATATATATATAGAGAGAGAGAGAGAGAGAGAGAGAGAGAGAGAGAGAAATAGAACTCGAGCCATTGCTAACCTGAAATAGATTCATTTTAAGAAAAATAATGCAACTCAACTCACATGAGAACAAGGTCAAGATGGCATGAAGAATTAATAGAATCAATATGTTACATGTGGAACGGGAAGGCTTAAGACTGAAAGCTACTGACATAAAAAAAGATATTGCAGCATTCATGCAAAGGAAGTACAATAGAATCAATATTGAGATACTGAAGAATTCCATTACTCAACATATATTGTGAAGAAAAAAACAAGTATTAAGTAACCAACCTTTGGCAGCCTACAATGCAAAAAACTCTTTGAAAAAAAAAACTAGGGGGGGTGGGGGAGCTTCTTACCCATTCCATCTCAGCTGTTGCTCCTTGTCCTCATCAAGACTTCTATGATAACCACTGGTTCCAGCAATCTCCATATCTTAGTCCAAATTCAGCTTATGATCCCTCTCCCAATCCTGAATATGGTCCTTGCTTTCTTCTTGCATATTATCCTCCACATGTCTGTCATGATCTCTATTCAATGAATATTCCCCAGCTCTATCATGATCATGATGCTCGTATCCTCTCTCTCTTCCAGAATCAATGTCCTGAGATCGATCACGCTCTCTGGACCTATCACTATATCGACCCCGGTACCGTTACCTATCACGATCATAATATTTTTCTCTATCCCGCCCCCTATCCCACTCACTCCGTCTAGAGCGGTCCCGATTGAAATTCTGATCTACCCCCACTTGGTGGTCACTTCATTCATTCTCACAACTCGACCATGGATAGTCTAATTACAGTTTCAACAATGTCAAACCTGCAATGATACCATTCTCCATGGAACAAACAAGGAATACATACCCTGACATTCGTATAGTTGATGGCATCATAAGCTGAACGAGGATTTGTGAAAGTGAAAAAGCCATTGTATTTTCTGTAAACATACAAAAATAACCATTAATATTATAATAATTAAATATTGATAATAATTTATAAAATATTAGTAATATTTATTTATTTTACAATAAAATATAATTACATTATTAAATTAATAAACATATTTATTGATATGTAAATTGATTTTTAGAATATAAATTATGTAAAAAATATTTGAATTAGAAAAAAAAATCAATCTATTAAATTCATAATAAAAATATAAAAATAAATATTATATATAAAATTTTAAAATTTTTTAAAAAATAAATAAATAAATTATTTGTTATAATGAATATTAATTTAAAAATATAAAAATTTATAATATAAAATAATTAGAATTTTAAATAGTAGCAAACTTTTAATTCATATACTAAATGAGTAAAATTGACTATTATTAATTTTACATATAATTTTATTTCGGTGATAAAAATTTATTACCCTTTTGTTTGAGAATTACATCACCATTATCGTCACGCATGATTATCAAATATTTATCAAATACAGTGATCTAACATCATGCATCGATCATCATAATTTTTAAAGTGATCATCCTATACCAAACATTACCTTACGGGCTTAGTGTTGTGGCTGTGAAAACTTGACGGTGGAGAGGAAGAATCAATGAGGAAGTTCAGACTGGAAGTTATTTGCTCAATGGTCAGTTTGTAGTAGTTGTTTAAGGCATTTTTGTTATGTTAAATGCAGCTGAAAGAACATGGAAGGCCCAGGTTCTATGACACTTGGAAAATTTTATCCCTTCTTATCCTACATTTGATGTTTGACTATCCTCTGTTTTGTTTATTACATGTATGATTATGATATGTGTTTTAATAGTATTGCGATAGTTCAACGGGCTCATGATTTGATATCACATTGATTCTTGTCGTGTAGGAGGTTTTGGGAAGAAATGGTACAAATTCTTACCTGAAGCTGGTTCTTCTGTTGAACTCATTCAAAACGGCAATTTGAAGACTGCTGCACATGCGCGCGCACACACAGAATTGCAACTTTTTCTTTTTTTGATTGAGAAATTCCTTGTAAAAAATAATGATTGGAATAATTGGTGCAGAGTCCGTATCTGAAAATTTGGTATGAAAGATGCAGCAAGCAGGTGTTTAGTTTTCTTAGCCCAAAATATAGTTCAAGATTAACTCAGGAAACAAGGAGACTAGCATATTACTGAAACCTTCTGGTATTTAGGATTGTGGAGCATTGCTGCACGAGTTTATGGTTCAATGTTGGAACCGATTTACTGTATGTATCTCATATTTCCTGATGCCATGTTTGGATATTATCAGAACTTGTCAATTTCATCTGAGCATCTTCGAGTTGTCGAGTTCAGGCACAAGTCACTATAGTGTTCCTATTCAAGTTTTCACGTGCTTTAAGAATTTGCTCGTCTTTTCCCTTCAAAATATGCACTGCAACATCAGAGCTCTTCTTTCCTAGCTGCGTTTTGGAAAGTAGCTTTTGATTTGGTTGTGATAGTAGGAATTAGAGAGAATGGTTTTGATTTTGTCTCGTTCTTTTTCTGGAGGAGTAAGGGAATTACGAAAAGGATGTAATGAAAAGCAATGAAAAATAAATACTACCAGTAGGAGATCCTGAGATATGAA